CCATGCAGATGGATTACCTTATGGAATGGTCTGAAAGCTGGAAACTATTCACAGAATAATTCAACAGTTTAAGCATGTTCATATTTCGGACTGAGATGGAGCTCAGAAATTGCAATGCGTAATCACATTTAGTAAATAGTATTTAGTCCTAAACTTTGTTGCCTTGGTTCAGTCTAAAATAACTTTCAAAGGAGCAATTATTAGGTGGACAGCGTAGTGAAAAGGAATGTTTAAAAAGATTAATTCTAGCTTCATGTCTCTTTCATGTTGAAGACGAAAAGGATTTGTGGAGGACCTCTGCGAATTGTGTCCTTAGGCAATGCAAGCCAAGCATACATAGCTGGCCATTAAAACCAATTAAAACTCACACACCCAGGAAATGTTGTGAAATGTCAACATTTAATAGCGCCGAATCAGTAATGTTTAATGAACTTTGAAAATGTTAACGCTTCAAAGATGCATCTGGTGCGATTATGACTGTAAATATCCTCAACAGGTTGTTAATCTGTCGGCCTCTCTGTGTTATTCATTCCTTTGTACGGTTGTAGTGGCACTGGGTAATGTAGTAACGTCTGTGCTGTGACCACTGCTCGTAAATCTCCCCCTCCGTTTAGAGCCAGTCGTTAATACAGACCTGTGTAACAGCACCAAACGGTAATGGTTTCCATAAGCTAGGCCCTGGAATTGTGTAAATCAGATTCTCATAGAGCCTGGGGTGAAGGCTGTAGCTAGCATTGCACACTGTCAATCCTCTGGAGCTATGTCTTTGAATGTGTAGAGCTGCAATAACAGTCCCTCTCGGGTTTCACGCTCTAGTTTCTGCTCAAAAGGCAGAAAAGATGACAGAGTAATTAGCGTGGTTTTGGGATAAATATTATTTGTTTAGATCTGGGTGTTTAGTTGGGTAATCTTCTGTCCAACAATTTTTTAGTCCATCGGTTATTATTATCTGGCCTTGTACATCAATCTAAAACATGTTGTGGCAAAGCTCTGGTTCTGAGTGGTTTTAGCCCTCCACCATTCAAGCCACAATTGAACTGTGAAGAGTTAGGCTTGGCCAGTGAATAACAGAGGACAGTAGACACTGACCCACCCACCCTCTCACTACCAGACTAGACTGTCCAGACTGAGATCCAATGTCTCTGAATTAAAATTACTGAAGGACATGACCCTGTTGGAAAACAGAGGCCTACACCAACACTGGACTCAGGGATTCATATTTCTGAGGACTGAGCTCTCTAGAGCTGCCGCCTAGCTGCTCTGCAGACATTAAAACAAATACAGTGTGTGGTTACACAAACAGGCCTGTCACAGGGCACCAAGTCAGTGAATGTGTGAAATGTAGCACGCTGTTGTGACTTTTTCCCCTGAATAAAGGGGATAAGGAGTTTGTTTTATTGAGAAACCTGACTCCCCTCATACTGCATGTCTTTGTTTGACTTTCCATAAATCAGGGAGAGTTTTTGATGGGCAGGTCGCCACGGGTGGAGGCTGATGTTCTGCAGCCATGCTATTTGGATGTACTGTATATCAGAACACTAATGGAGGGTATATTACTGTAATTACTGTAGGTCATGGAGGGTATATTACTGTAATTACTGTAGGACATGGAGGGTATATTACTGTAATTACTGTAGGACATGGAGGGTATGTTGCTGTAGGACATGGAGGGTATATTACTGTAATTACTGTAGGACATGGAGGGTATATTACTGTAATTACTGTAGGACATGGAGGGTATATTACTGTAATTACTGTAGGATATGGAGGGTATATTATATTAGTACATGTAGGGTTATATTACTGTAGGACATGGAGGGTATATTACTGTAATTACTGTAGGACATGGAGGGTATATTACTGTAATTACTGTAGAACATGGAGGGTATATTACTGTAATTACTGTAGGATATGGAGGGTATATTATGTTAGTACATGGAGGGTATATTACTGTAGGACATGGAGGGTATATTACTGTAATTACTGTAGGACATGGAGGATATATTACTGTAATTACTGTATCACCGGGTATATTACTGTAATTACTGTAGGACATGGAGGGTATATTACTGTAATTACTGTAGGACATGGAGGGTATGTTGCTGTAGGACATGGAGGGTATATTACTGTAATTACTGTAGGACATGGAGGGTATATTACTGTAATTACTGTAGGACATGGAGGGTATATTACTGTAATTACTGTAGGATATGGAGGGTATATTATGTTAGTACATGGAGGGTATATTACTGTAGGACATGGAGGGTATATTACTGTAATTACTGTAGGACATGGAGGGTATATTACTGTAATTACTGTAGGACATGGAGGATATATTACTGTAATTACTGTATCACCGGGTATATTACTGAAGGACATGGAGGGTATATTACTGTAGGACATGGAGGGTATATTACTGTAGGACATGGAGGGTATATTACTGAAGGACATTTGACTCGTGATTAGAGGGTGGGATCAGATCAAAAGAGGGGGGATATTGTAATTGAGTACAGCTGAAATTGAAGGAATGATTTTCAACATGTTCGTGTTCTCTGTGTGTGTGTGCTCGAATGTAAGTGCACAGTGTAATCACAATAAACCCTCGTAGTTCCTTTAGTGTTTGAATGTGCATTAGACACCACTTGAGAACATTCTGTCGGGCTGTATCACCGCCTGGTACACCAACCGCAGGGCTCTCCAGAGGGTGGGGCAGTCAGCCCAACGCATCACCGGGGGCACACTGCCTGCCCTCCAGGACATCTACAGCACCCGGTGTCACAGGAAGGCCAAGAAGATCATCAAGGACCTCAGCCACCCGAGCCTGTTTATCCCTGCTACCATCTAGAAGGTGGAGACAGTACAGGTGCTTCAAAGCTGGGACAGAGAGACTGAAAAACAGCTTCTATCTCCAGGCCATCAGACTGTTAAATAGTCACCACTAGTCGGCCTCTGCCCAGCACCCTGCCCTGAACCTTAGACACTGTTACTAGCACCAGGTAGTCTAACCTGCACCTTAAAGACTGCTGCCCTATGTACATAGTCATGGAACACTGGTCACTTTAATAATGTTTACATACTGTTTCACCCACTTCATATGTATATACTGTATTCTAGTCAAGGCTCATCCTATATAACTACTGCTGTAAACACCTTTTATATTCACATACTGTCTATACACACCATTCACATGAATATATATTTATATTCCAGACTCTGGTCCGGAAGCTAATTTCCTGCAATTCTATCCATTTTGCCATGGGGTTTTGAACTGTGTATATAAATACTGGATTCTCGACAATGCCGATTCTAATATTTCTACTACTGTACATTGCATTTTGGTTACACTGTTTTCATCACCTCATGTTTATTTATGTACTGGATTCTTGACATAGCTCACTGTAATATATCTACTGCTATACATATAATTCCTAGTATATCTTGTGTAAATTCATCTGGTATATATGGTGTATATACCTATAAAATATTTGAAGAAAGGGTACTGTGGAGGGAGGGAGGGAAGGAGGGAGAGAGTGTAGGGGCCCACTGTAGGGGCCTAGTATGTAAGGAGCATGGCTGGGTGAATGGAGTGAATATGAAGCTGTCAGGTGCCCATCAGTGGTGCTCTCTTATCTTCCTCTCTTCTCCTCCTCTTCCTCTCCTCTCTCTTCTCCTCCTCTTCCTCTCCTCTCTTCTCCTCCTCTTCCTCTCCTCTCTTCTCCTCCTCTTCCTCTTCTTCTCTCCTTCTCCTTTTCCTATCCTCTCTCCTCTTCCTCTGCTCTCCTCCTCTTCTTCTCTCCTCTTCCTCTCCTCTTTTCTCCTCCTCTTCCTCTCTTTTCTCCTCTTCCTCTCTTTTCTTCTCTTCCTCCATTCCCTTCCTCTCCTCCTCTTCCTCTCCTCTTCTCCCCTCCTCCCCTCCTCCTCCTCTCTTCTCTCCTCTTCCTCTCTTCTCCTCCTCTTCCTCTCCTCCCCTCCCGTCCTCTCCTCTCCACTCTCTCCTCTCCTCCCCTCCTCTCCTCTCTCATCTCCCCTCTTCTCCCCTCCTCCCCTCCCCGCCCCTCCTCTCCTATCTTCTGGAGGCCCAGTACTGTAAGAGTGCTAAACCATGTACTCTTTGAGATCAAACTGTCCTGCCACCGGCTTCAAAGAACTGCCAGCTCTGAACATGCCGGTCATGTGCTGTAGTTGGAGGGAGGAGCAGGGGAGAGTGTGGAGTAACCAGAATACCGTACAGCAACTCAGGTTACCAGTTAGTCAGATACAACCATCTAGCACTCTATAAAAAGAGCAAACGGGATGCTGACTTCATTTTCTTCTATTTGCATTTAAAATATATTCTCAGTCCAAATGGCTGAATTCAAAGACATTGGCTCCAAATCAATTCATGTGGCGCTCTCAGGTGGTCCGAGACTGTTCTCAGCTCGCTCTTTTCACAAGCATCGTTTGTTTACTGAGCTCTTCAGCGCTGGCCAGCCAGGCCAATATTAGCACATATAGCCACTGAGAATAGATAAGTCACTTATCTGTTTTGACAAGTTGGCATTGGTTTACCCAGTCCCACCTGATGTAATGTCTGATTCTTGCATCTCTGGTGAACGGCTCCTCTGAGAATATGTCCACATCTTGAAGTGGTTTCATAGCGTGCAGTATGGCCGATCTGTTTGGCATTGGCTCATCATTGTTAATCCATCACTCTGTGTGTCTCCTGGAGTGAGGAGGGTGGTGGCAGAACAAAGCCTTGAGCAGGACCAGTCACAGAGATGAGATAGGAGATATGATCTCGGGTCTTCAGCATCGTGGCCCATGTTACTGGACACTTCAGGCTGGATTCTGGTTCTGTCCTAATACCACTACTGCATCCACAGACACATTACAGCGTATTGGAACACTGCTAGAGCTGTGAAATATAAAACTATTTTATCACTGAGAGGATGTTATTTCCCACTGACACTGATGCTATGCTAACTCCATCTATCTGTCTGTATCGCTCTCTCTCTGTAGAGGACGCCAGCACTGGGAGGGACGGAGCAGGAACAGCGGGAGACCCAGAATACACCACTGACCTGTCAGGGAAACTGGGTAAGACACTGAGCACTGTATCTCTCTCTCTGATGTTTATCTCTGGTTTCATCTGATCCTAGATCATTTAGAAAACAGGGCATTGTCTTAGTGATGGGTATGTAGTGGCCCAGTCTCTAGAGAGGGAGTGTAGTTCTAGTTTTGGAGGGGCCAAGTGTGTCTGGCCACACCTGACACACACACCCCCTCTCTAGAGACCCCCCACCCACCCCACCAGCAGGGTGCTCTTTGCTTTGGTAATTGCCTCTGACAGGCCAGAGAGCAGGCTATTTGAGTGAAGTGTGATTGGGGAAACATTCCATCCTCTCCCCTCTCTTTCTGTTGGCTGCCCCCTTGGACTCTGTCGGTACTGAGCTCCACTGTCAGTGGCTGCAGAATCTAGCCGTGTTCTACCCTGATCAAAGGCGGGCTGCCATGAGTATTGTTGCACTGTGAAGTGTGGTGGTGAAGTGTGGTTGTGAAGTGTGGTGGTGAGGTGTGGTGGTGAATTGAGGTGAGGTGTGGTGAGGTGTGGTGGTGGTGAGGTGTGGTGGTGAGGTGAGGTGTGGTGGTGGTGAGGTGAGGTGTGGTGGTGGTGAGGTGTGGTGGTGAGGTGTGGTGGCGAGGTGTGGTGGTGGTGTTGAGGTGTGGTGGTAGTGAGGTGTGGTGGTGAGGTGTGGGGGTGTGCTGGTGGTGAGGTGTGGTGGTGAGTTGTGGTGAGGTGTGGTGGTGAGTTGTGGTGGTGAGGTGTGGTGGTGGTGAATTGTGGTGGTGAGGTGTGGTGGTGGTGTGGTGGTGAGGTGTGGTGGTGAGGTGTGGTGGTGGTGAATTGTGGTGGTGAGGTGTGGTGGTGGTGTGGTGGTGAGGTGTGGTGGTGAGGTGTGGTGGTGGTGATGAAGTGTGGTGATGAAGTGCTCCACTGGGCTGTGACCCTGACTCTGCTCTCAGCTCTCTAGAAGGCCAGACCAGTGGTATCAAACTGGGTTATGTTATGCTGAATAGTGCCGCCACACCAGAAATACTGTTGGACCCCAAATGGAAGCCCCACTACATACCCTTAATATTTATTTGTTCAGTGTTAGAAAAATTACGTTGTCAAACAAACAGACTCAACCTTAATTATTTTCAAAGTCCTCCAGCGTGATTCATTGCAATATTTAATAGCTGTCTGGTGTGCATTGTGCATACCATTATAAACTGTTCCTGTGAACTTCACCAACAACACTATTTCATAAACAACCCTTTCTTTGATCTCAGTCCGACCACGCTTCACGCAGCCAGCCAAGATGAGGAAGCGCGTGATTGCCCGGCCAGTGGGCAGCTCAGTACGGCTGAAGTGCACGGCCAGCGGGAACCCTCGTCCGGACATCGTGTGGCTGAAGGACAACAAGCCGCTGACCCCTGAGGAGGTGGGTGAGGGCCGTAAGAAGAAGTGGACCCTGAGTCTGAAGAATCTGACCCCTGAGAACAGCGGGAAGTACACCTGCCACGTCTCCAACCGGGCTGGAGAGATCAACGCCACATACAAAGTGGAAGTCATCCGTAAGTTTGGTCACTTACTTACTTTCAGTATAGATGTATTGCTTTTTGGATGATTTATAAGCTTGGGTCAATGTTGAATGGTGAGGTTGGATTAGCATTGAGCTAGGGTTGGAGTAGGGTATTAATGCAGGGTGTTGAGTTTGGAGGTTGTGCATTAACTTGGATTTACTGGTCAGATTGGTTTATAGTTGAGTATTGAGGATGGGGTTTGGGTTTAGGTTGTTAATGGTCGGTTGAGCGTTGAGCTGTGAGGTTGGGTTAAACCTGGGCTGGTGTGGTATGGTGAGCTTCAGCCTTCCTCTCTCTCTCCCCTTGGCCATCTGCTTAGCATTATATCCCAGCTGTGTACGCAGAAGCGGAGAGGAGAGGAAGTGAATAAAACTTGTGCTTGCTTGTGTCAAATGTGGTATTTTCTCCCTCAACCTCAGACTATTCTAGCCGCAGCACAGAGAATGAGAGGAAAGCGCTGAACATGGCAATAACTTTTCTGTTAATATGAATAGTATGAATATGCTCTATAACGTTTTTTCCCGTTATAGAGCGGACACATTCCAAGCCTATCCTGACCGGCACCCATCCGGTGAACACCACGGTGGACTACGGCGGCACCACCTCATTCCAGTGTAAGGTCCGCAGCGACGTCAAGCCGGTGATTCAGTGGCTGAAGAGGGTGGAGCCGGGGGATGAGAACAAGTACAACTCCACCATCGAGGTGGGCGACCATGGCTTCGTGGTGCTGCCCACGGGAGAGGTGTGGTCCAGGCCAGATGGCTCCTACCTCAACAAGCTGCTCATCACCCGGGCCAAGGAGGAGGACGCTGGGATGTACATCTGTCTGGGTGCCAACACCATGGGTTACAGCTTCCGCAGTGCTTACCTCACCGTGCTGCCAGGTGAGTGGAACACCCTGCTACACCCTGTTTAACCATAACACCCTGTTACACTCTGTTTAACCATAACACCCTGTTACACTCTGTTTAACCATAACACCCTGTTACAACCATATTATAGCACCCTGATACACCCTCTTTAACCATAACACCCGGTTACAACCATATTATAACAGCCAGTTTAACCATAACACACTGTTACACCCTGTTACAGCCATATTATAACAACCCGTTACACACTGTTTAACCATAACACCCTGTTACAACCATATTATCACACCCTGTTTAACCATAACACCCTGTTACACCCTGTTTAACCATAATACCCTGTTACAACCATATTATAACACCCTGATACACCCTCTTTAACCATAACACCCTGTTACAACCATTACACCCAATTTAACCATAACACCCTCTTACACCCTGTTTAACCATAACACCCTGTTACAACCATATTATAACAACCTGATACACCCTGTTTAACCATAACACCCTGTTACACCCTGTTTAACCATAATACCCTGTTACAACCATATTATAACACCCTGATACACCCTCTTTAACCATAGCACCCTGTTACAACCATATTATAACACCCTGTTTAACCATAACACCCTGTTACACCTTGTTTAACCATAACACCCTGTTACACCCATATTATAACACCCTGTTACACCCTGTTTAACCATAACACCCTGTTACACCCTGTTTAACCATAATACCCTGTTACAACCATATTATAACACTCTGTTACACCCTCTTTAACCATAACACCCTGTTACACCCTGTTTAACCATAATACCCTGTTACAACCATATTATAACACCCTGTTACACCCTCTTTAACCATAACACCCTGTTACACCCTGTTTAACCATAATACCCTGTTACAACCATATTATAACACCCTGATACACCCTCTTTAACCATAGCACCCTGTTACAACCATATTATAACACCCTGTTTAACGTTTAACACCCTGTTACACCTTGTTTAACCATAACACCCTGTTACACCCATATTATAACACCCTGTTACACCCTGTTTAACCATAACACCCTGTTACACCCTGTTTAACCATAATACCCTGTTACAACCATATTATAACACTCTGTTACACCCTCTTTAACCATAGCACCCTGTTACAACCATATTATAACACCCTGTTACACCCTGTTTAACCATAACACCCTGTTACAACCATATTATAACACCCTGTTACACCCTGTTTAACCATAATACCCTGTTACAACCATATTATAACAACCTGATATACCCTGTTTAACCATAACACCCTGTTACAACCATATTTTAACAACCTGATACACCATAACACCTTGTTTAACCATAACACTCTGTTACACCCTGTTTAACTATAACACCCTGTTACAACCATATTATAACAACCTGTTACACCCTGTTTAACCATAACACCCTGTTACAACCATATTATAACACCCTGATACACCCTGTTTAAACATAACACCCTGTTACAACCATGTAACATCCTGTCACATTCACAACCAAACAACATGTGATGCACCCATCATCCACAACTGTCCAACTGAAGTTGTTTTAATAATTGTTATATTTTCTACTGTATGAATTCACCATCAGGTTTTAATAGGGACTTTTGACCAAGCTGCTCATAACTCTCCATATTTTCTCTTCTCTTCCCTCCAGACCCAAAGCCTCACCACACTCCCATCCCCACGGCCACCTCCCCCAGCCTGCCCTGGCCTGTGATCATCGGCCTCCCAGCCGGGGTGGTGTTCATCCTGGGTACTGTCCTGCTGTGGTTCTGTCAATCCAAACGCCACTGCTCCTCTGGAGGTGTGGTCACCGCCCAGGCCCTGTCTGCCTCACAGCGCCCGCCCCCCCGGGTGCCAAACTGCCCCCCCAGCGTGGACAAAGACTGCCTGAGCTACTACATGACCCAGCAGCAGCAGCTCCTCCTGGCCCAGGGAGGCAGCGGTCTGACGGTCCCTAAAGTCTACCCAAAGATCTACACGGACATCCACACACACACCCACTCACACATGGATGGCAAAGTGCACCAACACCAGCACATCCACTACCAATGTTAGCTGCCACTGTCCCGACAGGGATGCTCATATGTACAATAGCCCTCATGTCTGCAGTGTTGTGTCAGCTCCCACCACCTCCCCTCCTCCACATGCCCAGTCCTGCCTTCATTCTAAAGACCCAGCCAAACAGTCTGTGCTGGGGTGCTGCACATAAACCCTCTCACTGCTAAATACTGTAGTGTACTGAACCAAGGCCCTGGGGAACATGGACACAGTCCGGATAGATAGCACCCTCCATGAGGTACAGAATAAGGGACATGGAAATGCTGTTCAGGAATCCCACATAAACTAATGTGAGTCCAAATGGAGCAACATTTCACACAGAACCCCACTCTGCAGAGATATGGCAACATTTGTTTCTCATGTCTGGGACAATCTGCACAAACTCACAGTGACTGAAATGAGTGAATGTATAGAGTTAGCTCTGTCTCATTTGAGTCTTTACTCTGTAGGAAAATGGCAGCATTTCCTGCAACACCCCATCTCCTCTCCGGCCTTCATGTGCAGTGACTGTGGATGGGTCCAAGAGGATCATGTACATTAGCTCCACATTTTTGTCAGATGCACAACCTCAGCAAGCAGCAAAAGGAATACAGTGCGATGTAAACTGTTTGCAGATTTTATGGATTGCCGTTGGATTGAATCAGAATCCACATGTGCCTTCACATCCTGAGAACGTCAGAAGCAGGTCAACCAATAGAGACACAGCGGGATTGAGTAAACAAAGATCGCATGTATTTTGTTTCTAAAAAAGGTTTTGTTCAAGGAAAAGACCTGCAAAGCATTACAGTCTTTTGTCTGTTGTATGTGTACGTGAATGGACAATTATTTATGGGTAATAGGAAATGGTATGAAATCGTGTAAAGAACGTTATAATTCCTATATTGTCAATATCCTAACAAAGAACCTAGATACTGAAATATTCAGAATTACAGCAAAGCATACAGTACTGTGTTCTTCTCATTATTACGTTGGGTTTTACAGGTCACTGACATGGGGGCGTCATGGTCCTGTGAGTGGTACTGTTGGGCTGATCCAAACCGCAGGGGCACCCAATCACAAAAGGACTTGTTCAACTTTTGAATTCTCAGGTGGCCATCTTTCTTTTTGTGTCTTGTTCTTTGGGTGTGTATAGGGTACAACTCTGACCACTACATGAAACTGTGGAATATGCCTTTGACTGCTCATGTAATGGAACCCTTTTCAAGCTATGGGAAGAGAGACGGAAAGCTTGCCAAAAACCAAAATACAGTATGATTGCTGCATTGTCTGTGAAAAGTGTCCTCAAACTGATTGTTCAGTTGTTCTGTGTTTTACCCCACTATTTGTTGTGTCAAAGCTAATGGACTGCCAGATTAAGAATTCATGCACTTATTCCAAGTATGTTGATCAAAGTAGTGTTAAAGTTAATCTATTGCTTTCAGCCTTTTGGGGGGAATCTAGTACCATGGAATATCCCATGTCGAATTGACCTACAAATTTAAATCCTAAGTAAATGTAGAAAATAGTAAAAAAAAAAAAAAAAAAAACTTGAATGAGTAGGTGTTCTAAAACTTTTGACCGGTAGTGTGTATATATATATATATATATATATATATACTATTTTCTACATTGTAGAATAATAGTGAAGACATCAGAACTATAAAATAACACATATGGAATCATGTAGTAACCAAAAAAGTGTTAAACAAATCAAAATATATTTTAGATTTTAGATTCTTCAAAGTAGCCACCCTTTGCCTTGATGACAGCTTTGCACACTCTTGGCATTCTCTCAACCAACTTCACTTGGAATGCTTTTCCAACAGTTTTGAAGGAGTTACCACATGTGATGAGCACTTGTTGGCTGATTTTCCTTCACTCTGCTGTCCAACTCATCCCAAACCATCTCAATTGGGTTGAGGTCAGGTGATTGTGGAGGCCAGGTCATCCGATGCAGCAGTCCATCGCTCTCCTTCTTGGTCAAATAGCCCTTACACAGCCTGGAGGTGTGTTGGGTAATTGTCCTGTTGAAAAACAAATGATAGTCCCACTAAGCGCAAACCAGTTTGGGATGGCGTATCGCTGCAGAATGCTGTGGTAGCCATGCTGGTTAAGTGTGCCTTGAATTCTAAATAAATCACTGACAGTGTCACCATCACACCTCCTCCATGCCTCACGGTGGGAACCACACATGCGGAGATCATCCGTTCACCTACTGGACACATCAGACCAAAGGACAGATTTCCACCGGTCCATTGCTCGTGTTTCTTGGCCCAAGCAAGTCTCTTCTTCTTATTGGTGTGCTTTAGTAGTTGTTTATTTGCAGCAATTCGACCATGAAGGCCTGATTCACGCAGTCTCCTCTGAACAGTTGATGTTGAGATGTGTCTGTTACTTGAACTCTGTAAAGCATTTATTTGGGCTGCAATATCTGAGGCTGGTAACTCTCATGAACTTATCCTCTGCAGCAGAGGTAACTCTGGGTCTTCCTTTCCTGTGGTGGTCCTCATGAGAGCCAGTTTCATCATAGCGCTTGATGGTTTTTGCGACTGCACTTGAAGAAACGTTCAAAGTTCTTGAAATGTTCCGCATTGACTGACCTTCATGTCTTAAAGTAATGATGGACTGTCGTTTCTCTTTGCTTATTTGAGCTGTTCTTGCCATAATATGAACTTGGTATTTTACCAAATAGGGCTATCTTCTGTATACCAACCCTCCCTTGTCACAACACAACTGATTGGCTCAAACGCATTAAGAAGGAAAGAAATTCCACAAATTAACTTTTAAGAAGGCACACCTGTTAATTGAAATGAATTCCAGGTGACTTCCTCATGAAGCTGGTTGAGAGAATGCCAAGAGTGTACAAAGCTGTCATCAAGGCAAACGGTGGCTACTTTGAAGAATCTCAATTATAAAATATATTTTGATTTGGTTACTACATGATTCCATATGTGTTATTTCATAGTTTTGATGTCTTCACTATTATTCCATAATGTAGGAAATAGTAAAAATAAAGAAAAACCATGGAATGGGTAGGTGTGTCCAAAGTTTGACTGGTGCTGTGTGTATATATACAGTATCTCACAAAAGTGAGTACACGCCTCACATCTTTGTAAATATTTGAGTATATATTTTCATGTGACAACACTGAAGAAATGACACTTTGCTACAATGTAAAGTAGTGAGTGTACAGCTTGTATAACAGTGTACATTTGCTGTCCCCTCAAAATAACTCAACACACAGCCATTAATGTCTAAACCGCTGGCAACAAAAGTGAAAATGTCCAAATTGGGCCAATTAGCCATTTTCCCTCCCCGGTGTCATGTGACTCGTTAGTGTCACAAGGTCTCAGGTGTGAATGGGGAGCAGATGTGTTAAATTTGGTGTCATCGCTCTCACACTCCCTCATACTGGTCACTGGAAGTTCAACATGGCACCTCATGGCAAAGAACTCTCTGAGGATCTGAAAAAAAGAATTGTTGCTCTACATAAAGATGGCCTGGGCTATAAGAAGATTGCCAAGACCCTGAAACTCGCCATGGTCTACCAAAGAAGTTGAGTGGATGTGCTCAGCGTCATATCCAGAGGTTGTCTTTGGGAAATAGACGTATGAGTGCTGCCAGCATTGCTGCAGAGGTTGAAGGGGTGGGGGGTCAGCCTGTCAGTGCTCAGACCATACGCCGCACACTGCATCAAATTGGTCTGCATGGCTGTCGTCCCAGAAGGAAGCCTCTTCTAAAGATGATGCACAAGAAAGCCCGCAAACAGTTTGCTGAAGACAAGCAGACTAAGGACATGGATTACTGGAACCATGTCCTGTGGTCTGATGAGACCAAGATAAACTTATTTGGTTCAGATGGTGTCAAGCGTGTGTGGCGACAACCAGGTGAGGAGTACAAAGACAAGTGTGTCTTGCCTACAGTCAAGCATGGTGGTGGGAGTGTCATGGTCTGGGGCTGCATGAGTGCTGCCGGCACTGGGGAGCTACAGTTCATTGAGGGAACCATGAATGCCAACATGTACTCTGACATACTGAAGCAGAGCATGATCCCCTCCCTTCGGAGACTGGGCCGCAGGGCAGTATTCCAACATGATAACGACCCCAAACACACCTCCAAGACGACCACTGCCTTGCTAAAGAAGCTGAGGGTAAAGGTGATGGACTGGCCAAGCATGTCTCCAGACCTAAACCCTATTGAGCATCTGTGGGGCATCCTCAAACGGAAGGTGGAGAAGTGCAAGGTCTCTAACATCCACCAGCTCCGTGATGTCGTCATGGAGGAGTGGAAGAGGACTCCAGTGGCAACCTGTGAAGCTCTGGTGAACTCCATGCCCAAGAGGGTTAAGGCAGTGCTGGAAAATGATGGTGGCCACACAAAATATTGACACTTTGGGCCCAATCTGGACATTTTCACTTAGGGGTGTACTCAATTTGTTGCCAGCGGTTTAGACATTAATGGCTGTGTGTTGTGTTATTTTGAGGGGACAGCAAATGTACACTGTTATACAAGCTGTACACTCACTACTTTACATTGTAGCAAAGTGTCATTTCTTCAGTGTTGTCACATGAACAGAAATACTCAAATATTTATAAAAATGTGAGGGGTGTACTACCTTTGTGAGATACTGTATATACATACACAGTGCTGTGAAAAAGTATTTCCCCCCTTTCTAATTTTCTCTACTTTTGCATATTTTTGATACTGAATTTTATCAGATCTTCAAACAAAACCTTATATTAGATAAAGGGAACCTGAGTGAACAAATAACACACCAATGACTTACTTATTTCATATTTTTCTTAAACAAAGTTATACAACACCCAATGCCCCTATGTAAAAAAGTAATTTGACTAGGCCATTCCAAAACTTCAAATTTTCATGTAGACTTGATTGTGTTTGGTTTTCGCCAGACATAATTGGACCCATCTCGTCCCATTATGGAAGCATTTGACGGCAGTCATTGGAGCTGAAGGTCGCACAACCAGTTAAGTATAAGGGGGCAATTACTT